GAAACCCACAAAGACAGCTGACTGGTCAAGGGGGGAGTTCTTGAACCCCAGACTGACGGCTAAGAGGCCAACAGGGAATTGATCCAGACTCCACAAATGTAGTGTCAGTGAGGAGGCCTCAGAACTCTGTGGGGCCTTGGGTAGTAGATTAGTGTTCACCATGGCATACAAATGAACTTTGGGAACCCATTCCACATGGAGGGATGCTCTCAGCCTGGACACATGGGGAAGGAAGGGCCTAGGTCCTGCCCTAGATGAAATGACAGACTCTGGATATCCCCCAAGAATGACCTCACCCTCCCTGGGGAATGATGTGGGTTTGGGCTGGGGGGGGGGGGAGCTGGGATGGGACGGGGACGGGGGTGGGGGGGCGTGGCTGGGATTGACATTTGAAGCATGCATGCTTCTAATTTAAATTAAAAAAAAAAAGTGAACCAGAAAAAATAAAATAAAATAAAATAAACAGGGCTTCTTTTCTTTCTCTCTGTATTTATTTTCTGTATTCTATATTCTGGATATGGATAAATAAATGTCTCTTCCAGAGGGAGAAAAATAAACAACTACTGCAGTCCATGCCATTAGTCCCAGAACTGGGGAGGCTGAGCAGGCAGATCTCTGTGAATTTCCTGCCAGCCAGGTCTACAGAAAGTGACTTACACACCAGCCAGGGATACACAGTGAAACTCTATCTTAAAAAATAAAACCAACCAACCAAACAACAAAATACCACCATCTTAGAATGATGCAAGTTTCAGAAACTGTTGCAATTATATAATAATGCACATGCGAGCTTACAAAATCACACAACTCTATCTGAAGCCAGATAACAGGATAAAAGAAGGGCTCAGAGACAGCGCTGGCAGCTGCCAGGGTGTAGGGCAGACAGTCAGGTGAGTAATTGGGTGAACTGATAGAGAACAGTGACACGGTATACAGACTTGTGAAGTGAAAACTCCGGAGAAGAGCAGGGCTTCCAGAAAGACTAGGAAGGAAAGAAAGTACAGGTCCTGGCACACTTAAAAGAACAGCAGCTGCTTTACAGGATGAAATAGGAATTTGATTTTTTAGGTTGCATTTGCTGTGACACAAAGCAGAAACATTCAACAACAAACGAAGAAGGGACCCTGAAGCCTAAGAGAAAAGTTAGGACTGAGGATACATCAGGGGGTGACTCAAAGAGACAACCACAGAGGCAAGAGAGCCTCAACCTGTCTGTAAGAAACAATCCTGGTTTGTGAGTGTGTTTTGTTATTATTTTGTTCCTATTTAGTCAAGTTATTTTTAAACCACAACCATTTTGTTAAATCAAGAGATGTTGCGTAAGCTGTGATTTTCCCGCTTTTCCAGAAAATAAAACAAACTGTTTAAAAAGCCACCTGCTAGTTGTGGGAATAGTGGATCTATATACATTTTACTAACTGTGTTGATCCAGAGATGAAGCTGCCTCTGCATCGAAGAGCCTTCTCCCTCACCCAACAGTTCCCTGCTGGTCCCCACCCTGGATGCTTATGCTCTGTTTCGGTTTGTGTCTTCTGGCACAGCCTCCAGGAGTGCACCTTTGTCCAGCTGGCAGGGAAGGATGGAGGCAGCAGACAACAGGAATCAAACAGGGTAGTTAGGCAGAGCACAGCCGCAATCTTTCCACAGTTAACTCCCACTCACACTTCTTTTCTTGAAAACACTTACCGAGGTTAGTAAATAAATATGATTTTGTCTTAAGTGTTTACTGCTTAAGGATTGGTAAGAATGCCTGGTCCACACTGCTTACAGGATAACCAGTGCCCCAGAACAAGGCCTCCGAGCACTGCACGAGAGTCTTTTAGTCAGAGAGTAAACTGAGAATCAAACCCTTGAGACCGAGGCTAGCAAAGTTCTGTTATTTAACCCCACTACCAGGAAGGTTCTTATGAGAGCTTCTAAGCAGATGACTTAAAATTCAGTGAGGTTAATCCAGCAATCACATGCAGAAGTTACTCCAGCTAGAAGTAGTAAGCCCATCAAGTTTCTGCAAAATGAACAAGTGCTAAATTGAGAGTGTTATATAAATTTGAGTCTGCCATAAGAAATAAGGTTGGGGGGATTAAGATAACCTTAGGACTCTAAGTCCTACAAAGAGATACTTGTATATTCGTGTTTACTGCTGCATCACTCACAAGAGCAAAAAAATCAGAAGCAGTCTAGAGAGCCATCAACAGCTCAGATAAAGGAAACTGCAGCACAAGGACACAATAGAACTTTATAGCAAGAGAGAAAACCATGACATTTGCAGGAAAATGGGAACAGGAAGTTACTATGTGTCTTAGTTAGGGTTTCTACTGCTGTGATGAAACACCATAACTAAAAGCAACTTGGGGAAGAGAAGGTTTATTTGGCTTACACTTCCATATCAGTGCTCATCTCTGAAGGAAATCAGGGTAGGAACTCAAACTGTGCAAGAATCTGGAGGCAAGAGCTGATGCAGGGGTATGGAAGAGTGCAGTCTTCTAGCTTTCTCCTCATGGCTTATTCAGCCTTGTAACACCCAGGACCACCAGCCCAGAAGTGGCACTACCCACAATGAGCCAGGCCCTCCCACATAAATCACTAATTAAGAAAATGCCCTACAGGATTGCTTACAGCCCCATTTGATGGAGGCATTTTCTCAATTGATGTTCCCCCCTGCCCTGAGATGACTACAGCTAGTATCAAAATGACATAAAAACCAGACAGACTGTGTTAAGGAAAGCATCCCAGATTCAGACACATACAGGATGTTTTCTCTCATATGTGGATGTTACATACATAGATACAGATCCTAATAATGGGACCCAAAGGGACAGTTGACCTGAGCTCTTGGGATGCCTTGCTCAGCCTTAATGCAGGGGGAGGAGCTTGGTCCTGCCTCAAATTTTATTGATGCCCATGAGAGGCCTGCCCCTTTCTGAAAGGAGACAGAGGAATGGATGGGGAGGGGGAAAGAATGGAGGAAGGAGGGGACACTGTGATTGGTATATAAAATAAATGAAAAAAATTTAATTAATTAAAAAAAGAGTAGGTCATAAAACTGAATCAGGACCATAAGAGCAAGCTGCACGAGGGTAAGGAGCAGGTGACAGCAAAAGAAGAAAGTGACATGAAAGCAGGAGAGGTGGAGGGAGTGGAAGAGGAGGACCAGGAGGGTGACAGGAGGCCAGGGGAGGAGATAGGGAAGAGACAAGAATCAACAACAAAACAGTATCACAGAATGACCACAATGAATCTCATTACTTAGTATGCTGATGCAAAAAAAAAAAAAAACTAGTGACAAAGATCATTCAGAAATCTAGTGTACAAATATTTGCCCATATCTGAAGTGCAACCGCAGCATTCAGCACAGGGCTCAGCATAAGTCAGGCTATACAACACATTTGAGAGACGTCCTCAAAGAAGTGGTGTGGGACAGACAAAGCCTCCTAAAAGCTATAGGCATCAGTGGAAAAGCAGTCGTAGGGACAACAATGGCACCATCGGAACAAAGTGAGGAGGCCAAAGTTCAACGGCATTGCTCAACAAGGTCAAGCAATGCTCGCAAGCCCGTTGCCCTCCAGAAACCCTCTCAGATCCCCTCCACATTTGTGGAGTGTGCTCCTCTCGACTACAGGACCTCGGCTCCAAGTCCTTTCGCTAGAGTAATGCCATTCCCGGACTGGATCCAGAAAAGGCACCTGGAATCTGTGCTGCCCAATTTGGTCCTGGCTTGACCTAGTCAGCTTACATGTTGAAATGCGGAGTGAAATGAGGCAAGCTCAACCAGGCAATGACAGAATCTTCCAACCTGAAGCTAACTTTGTTAACACACATGTCTTTGCAACATGACTCCCAAATAATCTGGAATTTGCCGGCATCAAAAAAGCAACAACAATGAGTATATATGTACGTATGTTAGTACTTACCACAAAAGAAAAAAAAAAAGAAGCAAGGCAACTCCTCAATGTGAAACAAATATTTGATAATTACATCCTTGGATACAATGTTAGGCGCTCTCCTCCCAAACAGCCCTGTTCTTAAGATTTATTTTTAATTATGTGTACATGTGTTGGTGCCCATGTGAGTACAGGTGTCCTGTGAGTCCAAAAGAGACTGTCAGATTCCCTAGAGCTGGAGTTACAGGTAGTTACCAGTCACACAGGGAACAGAACCCCAATCCTCCAAGCCGGTCCTTTAAGAGCATAAACCACTGAGCTGTCTCTCTAGCTCCAACAGCAGATAATATTCATTTAGACGAAAGAAACATGCCCCCCCATGCCTTTGCAGAAACCTTCCAAAACAAACAGTGAAGCATAAGGCGGCACTTGGAGAGGAACAAAGGTGAGTTCCACTGTTGAGTGCTCCTAGACCACGCAGATGTCTAACAGTAAACAACTCAGCACCAAAAAAAAAAAAAAAAAAAAAAAAAAAAGACTTTTGTGAAGCGTTTCACCGGGACAATTAAAGTGTTTTGTGTATGGCACTGGGGACAAAGCGCCGCACAAGCCAAAGCTCCTAGAAGGAGTGCGACCATGTTCCCTCTGCAGAGGTGGGGTTGCAGTGAGAGGCACTTTTAAAAAGTTAGTGTTTAGATTTGTGCTCCCGCCAAGCACGTTAAATGGCTACACTAGGGTTCTGCAAACAGCTGCAAAGCTAATCAAGTTCCCCTACCCAGAGCCCAGGTACACAACCGTCACACCTGTGTGACCAAACAAACTGTCCCACACAGTAAATTAGGTGGCACGTCCCCAAACTGCACCCAGCTCCAGGAAAGAAAATAACCAGGAGCCAAAAGGAAAGAAAAGTCGTGCGAAGTGAAGGCTGAATACAAGACAGAGAGCGGAAAATGAAGATGTTTTTTGGCAAAGAAGGTGCTGGAGAGCAAAACTCGAGAGGGACGGCCCGCCGGCGGGTCAGAGGGCTGCCCTCCAAGGGCGACCAACCTGCGAGCCTTCTCCCCGGGCGAGAGCGGACGGCGAGCCTGGCCTCAGCCGCTGGCTCGCTCCCTAACTCACCTGGACAGGAGCCGCCACATATCCTGCTGCCCCATGGTCTAACAACCGCGAGCTACAGCTGAGCCGAACGACGCAGCCCACTGCACACGTCAGACCCGCCCACCGCCGACCGGAGCCGAGGAGAGCGGCGAAGGGCCGCGGGCAACGACGACAAGTCCTCCGGAAGGCCAGAGCGGCCCATAGCCTACACTTCCGCTGTGCTACGCTTCGGGCGGGGCAAAAAAAGAGGAAATTAAAAAAAAAATAGTGAAGGGCGGGGCCGGGGCGGGGCCACGGCGGAGCCAGGAACCGGGTACGGGTGGGACTCTGGCCGGGCTAAGGGGCGGGGACTAGGGCGGGGTGGGGGGAGCAGGGGAGGAGCCAATGCGAAGGCGGAGAGAGCTGAGGTAGGTAGCCAAAGCACAGAGAAAAGGATGAAACCGAGTTGGAAAGGGAAAACGAGTTTGCTCCCCTAGAGGCCGTCTTAGGAAACTCCCAGTCGGTATCTAGGTTTGGCCTTCAGGTTTGACCAGCAGGAAATGATTGATCTGAATGAGTTTTGTGGAATTTTTTAATGAAAAGGTAAGTTTAAACCAGACCTGATGATGCACTCCTGTAATCCCCCCCACTCAGAAAGCTGAGGCAGGAGGATGAATGGTCACCAGTTGCAGACCACTCTGGACTGTATAGCATGACCCTACCGCAGAAAAAATAAATAAATTTAGTGTTCTTCGAGAATCAGATGAAATGTGTTTCATGTCAAAGAGAGCTCTGTGTTGTTTAGTACTCTACGTTGCTGAACTTTCTTTGAAATATTTCTAATTGTCTTGGGAAAGCTAGAGACCCCTCAGTCTTCCTCTGACAGACGAACAAATCTAAGAGACTGTGCTCACCAACTAAACTAGAAATTGCTTTTATCAGAGAAAGCGTACCTACACCAGAAAGTAGCCCATTAAATAAAACCCATACTTAACTGCCTTCCACTGTTGACTAGACCCACCCAGATGTCCAGCTGCAAGTATGGCATCATCAAACATTGACATATTTATACGAACTGAGAGAAGTTAAAGGTGTGCGTGCGTGTGTGCATGTACCACCAAGCATTCCATAAGCACTCATCCACTATATCTTATTCTTAGTCTTTTGGCATTCAGGAGACATACTATATATTTGACCAGAAATTATCTTCTATTCTGGGCCAAAAATAGTAATACCCAGATAACAGAGGAAGCCAGTGGGCACCGTAAAAGCAGAAGGCAGGAGACACAAGGAATTCCTGACCTGCAATTAGCCCTCAAAGGTATGCGCAGTCACCATTTGACTTCACCATCAAACGGTATCATGTACCATTTGTTCAGGAAAGAATGAATGTGTTAGCCTATCCAGGGAGTATTAGTGGGAAGACAAGCTTTCCTCCTATAGCCAGAGCCCAGTTATGCTTTTCCTGACTCCATGTGAATGGGGCCTAGTGCTTCACAGTCTCCATGTTTACAGGTCTCTGTTTTGACTTAATGCCCTGCTAGTAAATGTTTTCATTTTGTTTATCAATTTATTATTTATCTGTTGTGTGTACCTATATGCATCCAAGTTCAATGGTGTATATTCAGAGGTCAAAGGGCAACTTGCAGAAATTGGTTCTCTCCTTCCACTATGTGGGTCCCAGGAACAGAATTCAAGTTGTCAGCCTTGGAGGCAAGTACCTTTGCCCACATGCGGAAGCTGCCTCCTACCAGAGCAAGGGGCCCTAGAGAGACAAGCACCAACGCAGACGCCACAGTATTCTTATAACCTAACCTTGGAAGTGATTCACCATGACTTATTCTATTGGTCACAAAAGGCAGCCCTGAGCCTGTTTGGAAACTGGATATTACACTTGCTTTTTTTTTTCTTTTCTACTTGCCAATCAATCATTAAGACATGTCAGTCATTTCACTGGAAGATCTCTCAAATTCCCCTGCTCAACACCCCACACTGCTGTGCTCGTCACCCCTGTGATTCATTCCAAGTCATATCCCCCACCTGCACCCCACCACTGCTTCAGGTGCCAATCGGTGTGCATTCACACACAACCAGTTAGGATATCAAGTTTTGTTTATTGTTCAGATACTAAATAATCTCACAGTTGTGTGTACCTGTTTTGCTAAGACTAGACACATGGGGATATTAAACCATTGAAATGCAGCTAATCTCACTGAGGAAACAAAATTCTTAAATTTTGAATTCAAACTGAAAGCAGTCTGAAAAATATATTTAGTGCACGTTAACCTGACAATATTTTAGATATGCCGAGTTATGGAAAAGCTGTCATGAAAATTAACTTCACGTGTCTCTTTTCATTTTTCAGAACATTTTAAATTTTACATGTGACTTAAGTTCTGTCTTTATTAGCCAACAATGGTCTGTTCAACTCCATCTGACTGATTTGGGGCCAAAAGAACCTAGACTCCACCTTATCATTATCTGTCCTTATTTTCCATTTACTTCTCTTGTTCTTGTGGCTCGTTTCCCTCCTAGAGGTCCCTGCTCACAAGTTGCCTTTCCGTCCCTCTGCCTTAGCTCACACGTGTCTTATATCACAAATGCTGCTCTGCTTTTACCTTCTTATAGGCTATCCTGGAGACTAGACCTGATCTTCCTGAATGTTTCTACCCTAGCCTGCATTGAGCTCCCCTTTTCTGAATTTGAATTACACTTCTAATAAGTATAGCCAACTGCTGCTTGACTATTTGTTGGATGCTAATTCTGTGTGTACAGGTGTGTGTGTGTTCATGCATGTGCAGGTGTGTGTGTGTGTGCATTGATGAATACAAGGCCACAGGTAAACCATAAATATCATTCCTCAGGAGATGTCCATCTTGGGACTTGCTGGGGTAGGCTGGCGAGCCTACCAGTCCCAGGATCTGTCTGTCCCTGACTCAAAAGCCCTAGATTATAAACCTGTTACTTTCCCTATAGTCTTACATGAGTATTGGAGAGCACACTCAGGTCTGCAGGCTTGCATGGCAAACACCTTACCAAACAAGCTCTCTCTCCCAAATCCCACTAATTTTCATTCCCAACCTACAAATTTCAAGTGTCATTTAGCTGACATGAGGCCCCCTGCTTACAGGTAGCAATAGAGAAAGAAGAATTGTTAAACATGAGAGCTTTTCTCGTCAGTGGAAAGGGTGTGCATACCTGGTCTCCATCCCAAAGACTGGGGATGGTAGGTTAATAACCTGGTGATCTTTGCTATTCTGGAGAGCCAGACTTCGCCCTAATTGCCCGATGTTGAGCATTGTTTCTCCACCAGTAGAACCCATTCTTGTGGAAGAGGCCACATGTACTTGGCAAATGAGTTTTGATGTAACCATGCCTTTTTGTTGTAATAATTGTCACAAGGAAACTTTTCCCAAAGTTGTAATGTGTTTAAATATGTCAAAAATAAACTGCTCAGGGTTAGAAGTTTGAACCAGCACAGTCACTAGGCCATGCTGATCTGGGTTTCCTTCTTGCCTCTCATAGTTCAATTCTCTGCCAGCTATAGGGCCTGCAGGGACCCGCAGAGCCAACCACAGCATTCACAGACTGTAGTCCCCTACATGAAGTCCAAGAGAATGGATAACAGCGATGGAGACCTCTCCCTCTCCTTGTCTATCACAGGTATGTTTGGAAAACATGCTTGATTCAGTAGCTACCAATGGTGACACTGAGCTCAATTTATTCTTTCCCAAAAGACATGTGTACCACCACTCTTTTATGTCATAAGGTGAGAGATATTATAGTGTGACTCAACAGCACTTCTTTTAAGGGGGTTGCCATTTTCTTATTCTAGTGTATAGAGGAGCCCAAGAGAGAGCCCAAGGTTCAGAGGTGCACAGAGCTGAGTAATGAAGCCTTTGGGTTCCTGCTCCTTCTTGTTTAGTGCCTACAGTATGTTAAGTGAGCCCTTCTACAATCAAAGTGGTTGTTAATATGTTGAAACACTTTTCCTTTTTTTTTAATTGAAAATATTTTTCATGCAACATATTTGATCTTGATTTCCTTTCCTCTAACTCTCCCCAGATCCTCTCCACCTTCCTACCAACCCAACTCCATGTCTTCTTTCTCTCTCTCTCTCTTTAGAAAACAACCAGGCAAACAAACAAACAAGCCAGAATAAAGAAATAAAAACAAAACAAATACACAAGCTAAACCCATCAATACCCATAATATATAAGCAAAAGACCAATGAGACAAAAATTTTCCAAAGAAAGAAATATGAGGCAAGAAGTCTACAAAAACACCATTGAGGTTGTTTTGTGTCGGCCATCTACTACTGGGGATGGGATCTGCCTTTAAGTATGGTTTATATACTCAGTGAGGCTCCACTGAAGAAAACTAATTTTTCATTTACAAGTAGATGTCAATAGGAGATAGTGTCTTAGGTAGGCATGTGAGTTCATGTTCACTTCCCCCTCTCAGTACTGGTACCCTGTCTGGTCTGAACCTGTGCATGCTGCCATAGTCGCTGTGAGTTCATACATACAGCAGTCCTGCTGTGTTTACAAGACACTGTTTCCTTGGTGGCATCCAATCACTCTGACTCTTACACAGTCTTTCTGCATAGCTTCCTGAGCCCTGAGGGGAAGGGTTTGATGAAGACATCCCATTTAGGATTGAATGTTCCAAAGTCTTGCACTTTCTTCACATCGTCCAGCTGTGTGGGTGTGTTAGTTCCCATCTACTGCAAGATGGAGCTTCTGTAATGATGACTGGGTGAATCACTCACCAATGGGTATAAAGGATGCCCTTAGGAGTCATTTTATGTTCCTTTAGCAGAACAATAGTATTTGATTTTCCCCTAGGCCAATGGTCTATCTAGTCTCAGGTTCTCGGCCACCCAAACAGTGTCAGACATAGGTTCCATCTCATGGAGTAGGTCTTAAATTCAGTCGGAGAGTGATTGGTTATTCCCACATTTGTGTCTCTATTGCACCATGCAGGCATGTCATCGTAGTAGACCACAGGGTTTGTAGCTGGGTTGGCAGTTTCTTTTCTCCTCTGGCAGTGTGCAGAGTACCTTCTAGTACCATGAAAACTGGTCAATAGAGGCAAAGACTCTAGTTAGGCACCAGTTCAACTTCTCTGTATTCAATGAGATAGAAAGTGATTTTTTTAGAATTTTGTTTTGTTTTATTTGTTTCAGCAATAGGGCCTGTTGCTTGGTGTGGGG